TTCAGTTGATTGTACAGTATCAGATACTCAGCTGAAAAGGTTATTTGAAGCTCGCCCAAGCAGTGTCCCTACGTTCGTCATAAGAATGGAGAATGTAAGCAGCACGATCGACCTGAACATAAGCAACGTTTCACAGGCCGAGATTGATAGTACGCCACCCTGGTCTACTCCTGTGATAAATGTTGACTTTAGCTTAAAGCAGTTTCCTAAGGAATCAACTCCAGACTATGTCTATAAACAGCACTTTGCAGAAATCCAACACAATGATAGGTATTTAATTCCCATTTACACTGACGGTTCTAAATCAGATGATTATGTAGGCTCAGCCTTTGTCTGCCAGGATGAAATTGTGGCAGAGCAAATTTCATCGAATTCATCTATTTTTACTGCAGAGCTGCATGCTATCCACTTAGCCTTAAACTATGTAATCAGAAAAGGTCATTGTCGCTGTGTTATTTACACCGACTCAGTTAGTGCACTTCAGGCTTTGATCTCGTGTGAACCTAGTTCTTACTCTATAGTGATTAAAATTCGTAAATTGTTTAGCCATCTTCTTGCAAGGAATTTCTCTATAAAATTTTGTTGGGTCCCAGGCCATGTTGGTATAAGAGGAAATGAAGAAGCAGATGCAGCTGCAAAATCAGCTAGTCCTCCACAGCACACAATGCGTATTGAAGGAGGTGATTTCAAGCTAGTCATTAAAAAACGACTAGCAGAGAGATGGCAAAATATGTGGAACACACAAGTCCACAATAAACTGCATGAGATCAAACCTACGATAGAAAATTGGACACACAAGAAATTTTATAACAGGAGATCTGAAGTTATTATTACTCGTTTGAGAATTGGACATACTCGGTTGACTCATCAATACCTTTTGAAGGGTGACGAGCAGCCAGTATGCCAGTATTGCAACTGTCCTCTTACTGTAAAACACATACTGCTCGATTGCTCTGTTTTTGAGACCAGGCGTAGGCAGCATTTTGGAAATGCAAATTTTAAACAGATTCTGGGTCAGAGGCCCAATTTTTATGATATATTAGACTTTTTAAAAGTCAATAATTTGTGTAAAGAAATTTAATTATTTATTTATTTATTTACCTATTTAATTATCTATTTATTTATCTTTTAGCTTATTGTTCGTTCTTGTTTGTTATTAATATGTATATTTGTTTTTTTTTGTTGCTGTTGTTTATTTATTTATTTATTTATTTTTGTCATATGTTTATAATTATTTACCATTTGTTATGGCGCAGCTTAGCCTATATGGCTCTTGTGCCAAAAACCAAAACCAACCAACCAACCACAGAGTCCCTCCAATTTATTGTTGGTTGTGGATACCGTCCGTGGGGGGTGCAGAACTGGCATTGGTGGTGTAGCTCCTGTACACAAAATGTCATTGTTTTGAGAGAGTGATCCTTTCCATCTCTGTTCCTATTTGGAGGTGCACGGGGAGGCCTCCTGCTGCATAGAGGCATCTTGACTTTCTATCTCCACCTGTTTGCTATTTTCCTTAATGCTTTTGATTGCTAGGTCAATAATCCTCTGCATCTGGTCCACTACAAACTTGATGTTCTGTGCCGAGCTCATGCGTTTCTTTGAGCTCTCTGCTATATAATTTTTAGTTTCATTTATTATTTTGTATGCTTCCTTTAGAAAAGAGTCTACAACGGTTTATTCCATCTTGACGAATTTCAGACGTAGACAGTAGAAACACTAAGAGCACACCAGGATAAATATGCACTTTAAACTAAAGCTGAAGAAAAGTAGGAGTGCATCCAGAAAATAAAACTGTGCAACCTCAATTTTCGTGTTTCTGTTGTGGCCTAGTCCCAAAGCTGAAGAGGGTAGTGTCAGAGGGAACTGAAGTTCCAAAAGGTCTCTGCAAAGTCAGGTCAACACCTAAAATTGCAGAGGTGAAAAGATAGATACGACTAACTTAAATCTAAATTAAATCTAAGTACGTAGACAGATACTAATTGCGTGACAATGATAAAACAGTAAAGCTGCATAAACAGGAGCCAATCTTCATCTGTGAGTTCACTGTTCACTTTGAATTCCAGTCGTCAAAAACACAGAAGCACGACGAACTGTAAACAGTTGACGTCACCAGACATCAGAGTTCACCGTTATAAAAAACCATTGATAGTGAGTTCATTGACCCATACAGTGGCGAGAGTGTTGAAATTTTAAAATTGCTCCAATTCGGTCAAAAGTTGTTGGATCTGAACCAAATTTTGAAGAAACACAGTATCCAAGCTCTTCTCCGGACATCCCGAAACGAAACTGTGTGCGCCAAACAGAGGGCCCGATGTGGGCCTTCAAGTGTCCAGGACAAAAGGCCAATTTGCCAAAAAACTAATGATCCAAAAGTGACCAGAGTCGGAGAGTGTACTCATTTTTACGATGAGAGTCCAACTACGTCACCAGTTCCGGATAACCGGCCGGAGAAAGTTCGGAAAAGCAGTCCGAAAAAACAGGATTTGTTTTGTTAATAAATTATCAAAAAATGGGCCCACAACAAAAATTCAAACATCAACAGATGTAACTCGATGAGTACTAACTGAATTAGCACAAAAAACTGCACTTAAAACAAAAAAAACTACGGAAAACGCGAACTATTTAGGAGCTCGATCCATACACAGCCACCAAAGCCTGAAAGCTATATAGATAGGGACATTTCATTTCATTTTGTTGGAACTCTGTCTTCTGGAAAGGGCTACTAAGCCCAGTCCGGTTGACTGTTTCCTTTTAATTAACCCCTACACTGCATAGGCTTCGTAGGGGTGATACATAATACAGAATACAAAATGGTATGGTTACAATGAACTTACATATTAGCAATAATATAGCAACTTTACAAATAAAAGGGACTCCGCAGTTCCGGAGGCAAGTTACAGAATTAGGATGTGTCCCAGATACTTACACAAAACAAATACACTAATGTCTGTTTCTATTTCTGTTAGTTTTTTATTATCCGTTGTAAGGTCGTGTATACCTTGCCGTTGTTGATGATAGATGGTTTGGAGGCTGGCCACTGTAGTCCTTCTTCCATACAGGTGAGCCATAGTTCCAGTCTATCTCTTTCCAGTTGCACACAGTCATACAGGATGTGGTCGGGGTCTTCTGTCACGCCACACGTGCTGCAGAGGTTTGTCGGGGAGTGCCCGTACCTGTAGAGGTAGGCGTTGAAATCCCCATGGTGACTGAGGAAAGTTGAGAGATGATGATATGTTCCCAGATGCTTGTTAGCCGTCCTTTGGTTGAAGTCTGGGATAAAGGAGAATAGTCCATGCTTTCGGGTCGAGGAGTGCCACCTTTTTTGCCAGTTGACGATGTAGTGGTTTTTGATGAGGAGTTTGATGTGACTTTTTGGAACTTTGGCATAGGCGTTGGCTGTGTCCTGCTCGCAGGCCTCCTTTGCGAGACTGTCCGCCCTTTCCTTGCCTTCCACTTCTTCGTGCGCCTTTACCCAACTAAAGTAGAGGCGGTTGCCCCTTTCGTTATTCCTTAATTCGTCCCAGATTTGGTGGACTAGAGGGCTTTTGTTCGTCTTATCCTGCATGGCGCTTAGCGCTGCTTGGCTGTCCGTGTTGATCGTTATCGTATTCTTCCGGTGGGCTATGTTCGTTTACCTGACTGCCTTGTATATAGCTAGTAGTTCCGCTTGGTAGTTGTTGCAATTTGGGATCATCTTCCACTTCTGGTGGTATGTCTCTGTTGTTATAGTAGTAGGCAAAAGATGCCCCCGTCCGAGTGGGGCCTTTCGATCCGTTCGTGTAAATCTTATTCTTGTTTTCCTCCTTATACCTGGAGATCTTTATGTCGGGGATACTCCTGACATGGAGTCTCCTTGTGGCTGGCACCGGGTTCTCAATATCATGGGGATCCACGTTGAGATATGTCGAGGTGTCGGTGTTTGCCCTGACATGGAAAATGTCTTTCTTTTGATGGATGAGAATGTCCAGTGGAAGGGCTCCGGCAAGGACCTGGAGCGCCTCGTTAGAGATGGTTCTGTATGCGCCGGTTATCCGGAGCAGCACTTTTTGCTGTAGAGACCATAGCTTCCTCTGAATGTGCACATGCTGGGCTGCGTGCCCCCACGCAGCTGCTCCATATGTGACCATGGGGAGGACGGCACTTGTGTAGATATGCTTCAGCATATCGCCGGACAACCCCCAGTCCCGCTTGGCGACTTTGGTGCACCAGGCGAAGAGGTTGCCAACTTTATCACGAAGGTGTTCGACATGTTGAGTCCAACTGAGCTTGTTGTCTATAATTACCCCCAGATACTTAAGGGTGTTACTGATGTTGATGGGTGCGTCGTTCATTCTGATGGTTGGGGCCTCCTCTCCACGTTGTGCCGTGTTAGGACCAGGCTGTTCGTCTTGGCCGGATTGAAATACAGTTTATTGTCCTGACCCCACTCGTGGATCTTCTTCGGGACTTGGTTAGTTATGGATTCCAACTTGTACCTGCTGTCTGCAGTGGTAACGAAAATAATATCGTCGGCATATGCTGTGATATGGGTATTAGCTAGGAACCGTTGGCCCAGGAGGTCATCAATTATGATGCTCCAAAATAGGGGCACCCTACGGTAACCTGTTTGCTAACAGTGGTGTTCCCATAGGTGAGGCAGACTTTTCGGTTCGTGAAGTAATCTAAGATAAGCCTGTAGAGGTTGCCTGGACTGCGTCTCTTTTCTAGGCTGGTCAAAATACGCGGCCACCATGCATTGTCGAATGCACCCTGGAAGTCAAGGCTGACGGCCATGGTCCAGGTGTGGTGGCGGCGGTGGTTGTGATTTAGCTCCTTGACGACCCTGCAGATAGCGTCCTCAGCGCTGTAGTTGTCCCTGAAACCATATTGGTTGTTGTTGAGGGCTTAGTGTTGTTTAACCACTCTATTAGCTTTCTCGTTATGAGCCTGTCCAGAAGCTTGCCTAGGGTAGGCAGGAGACATATAGGTCTGTAGCTCCTGGCGTTGTCAATAGGTTTATTGCTTCCTTTATAAATTGGGATGACGTTGGCTATCTTCCATTGGGTTGGAAAGATGCCATACTTAAGACAGCAGTTGCAGAGGTTCTTGAAAAGGGAGGGCAGCTTTTTGTGGATGGCGTGTACAATCTCTGTTGTAACCCCATCATGGCCAGGGGCCTTCCTGCCCTGGAATCTGCCTATCACCCAGTTGACCTCACCGCTTGTAAAGGCGGGTTGGTCTTCTCTTGTGGAAACATATTGGAGGTCCTGCCGGACCTGTTGGTGTATTGGCTTATCTGTGGTGTTGTTATCGTCTTTGAAAAATTTGTTCAGTAAGGTTTGGAGGCTGCCCTTAACAGTCGTTGTATGGGTGCCTTGGTTGTTCTTAAAGTTTATGAGCTGGAGTTTTTTCTTTATTTTACCTGTCTCAAGCTTATAGAGTATGCTCCATGGGTTGCTGGAACAACGGGTACAGAACGACTGCCAGCTCTCTTTTTGCTGCTTTGATATGTTCTTTATAACTCTTTTGCTCGTCCAGGTAGCTAACCTTCCAGTCCGCTCTCTGGGCTGTGTCCGAGCATTGCTGGTAACGGCGCCTCTTGGCAACCAGTTTGTTCTTATGTTGCTGTAAGTCTCTATTCCACCACTTAACAATCCTCTCCCTTTTTTTATATTTCTGGATATTCCTGTTGACGGTATCCTTCAGGGTTTTTGCAAAGATGTCAAGGGTCTCGGTGGCTTTAGAGTAGTCATGAACATCCCCAAAGGTGAAGGGGCTGAGGCTGTCAGTTATCTTTCCCCAGTTGGCTCTGTTGATGTTTAGCTTGCTGATGTTCTTTTCTTCTTGGATGTTCGTAATCTTGTCTGCAATGTACCGATGATCTGAGAGGAATGGCCCTTCTAGGATCTCCAAGTTCCTGATATCCCTTATAGCAAGGTGGCTACAAATCGTGATGTTCACGTTAGAAGTGCCATTGCTGGATTCAAAGGTCGGGAGATTTCCGGGCTCGTTTAGGATGTACAGATCCTTCTCGTTGATGAAGTTTTCGATTTTCTCCCCTCTGTCGCCTGTCTCGTCCTCGTACCAAAGGTAGGAGTGTGCATTCACATCTCCTCCTATTAGGATATAGTGTGAGGATTTGTATGTGTTGATAACCTTCTCGATGTTCTGGAGGGCTTCTTCTATGTTGGCTTCCATGGGGATGTATATACTTCCGATTACCCAGGGCCTTTTACTGTCGCTTATCTCGATGTAGGTCTGATATTCATTACTGAAGTTGTTCAGCAGGAGGCAGTCCATATCTTCTTTAAGTATGCCTATCATAGGCCAGGGTGCTTTGCCTTGGTTGTGGATGATTTGCTTCATGTGGAGGGGCCACCCATAGGGCTTGCCTCCACAGTGATAAGGCTCTTGGATGAGGAGGATGTCGGTGTCGCTGGCGGAGCTGGCAACCAGCTGGGAAACCACCGCGATCTCCCTCCCCAGATTGACTTGCATTATTTTAAGGCAGATAGTGTTGATGTTACAACTGACCAGGGGTGTACTGGTGTTATTATTCATAGTTGGTTTTTGTTATGATGTTCTTAATAATTTTTCCCCTCTCAGTGCAGGTGTTATTATCGGCTTTGTGGGCAGAGGTAGGTGCTTTGGCTTTTATGCAGTTAATACAGCTTGGCGCTGTAGCCTTATTTTTACAGTCAGAGTATCGGTGATCTTCACCGTAGTAATTACAGTAGGAGTGTTCGCTCCTGCACTCTTTTGCAAAATGCCCGTATCTACAACATTTGTAACATTGTATGATACTATAATACTCTTCCATGTTGCACCGGACCCAGCCAATATTCACTTTTCTCTGCCTGTTCATGATCTTTCTCAGTTTTGGGGTGACCTCAAAGACCCAGTGCTTCGAGTCAGGTCTCTTTCCCCATTTGAATTTGGCACTGATATCTCGCTTATACATTTCTTTGTCCCCTTGGTATTGGAAAGTTATGGCATCGTTCTGGTCGAAGATTGCCTCTATTATAGTGTCCTTGTTCAGGTCAGCAGGTATATTATATATGGCCATTTTGGGTAACAATTTCTTCGGTATTCTGGCCGTTAAGTTATCAATTTTGTTGAGCTCGGCAATAATGTTTTCTTCAACGTTGCCTTTCTGCTTGATTTCCAAGAGGTTACTTCTGTTCCAAACTTTCCTCATTTTCGTCACACCGATCTTTAATGCTCTGGGGTCGAGCTTTTCTTTGATCTTTCGTTCTATGCTGTCAGCGACTTCCTTGCCATTTGTGCTGTCCACCAGTATTACAGCACACCTTCTTGCGTGTGTGGGTGGCCCAGCCTTCGACTTGGACGCTTGATCAGCGTATGTGGGAACCGGTTGTCACTCCCTGTTCTCCTTTAAAAGTAGGTCCATCTTATCAGATAGTTCCACCATAATCTGGTCCCTAGGTTTATAGGTGTTTTGGTAAACCTTTATAGCCTCGTCGAATATGTCAAGGACTGCTTCTGAGTGGAGCTTGGTGCCAAACTTCGAATTGGGGTTCGACTCTATTTATCAGGTCAGTCCATAAGTTCGTGTGCATTTTTATCTACAAAAAAAGCAACAAAAAATTTTAATTAAATCTTATTTCAATCTATAATGTATTCACCATTATTTTGTACAATTTCTTGTCATCTTGATGGTAGCTTTTTAATCCCTTCTTTGTAAAATGATTTTGGTTTTGAATCAAAATATTTAGAAATAGCCTTTTTTACATTGCTCTCATCCTCAAAAGTTTTTCCTTTTAAAAAATTCTACAAACTCCAAAAAAGATGATAATCACTTGGAGCAATATCTGGCAAATATGGTGGATGAGGTAAAATTTTCCAGTTGAAGCTTTTGAGTTGAGCAGTTGACGTTGTTGTTAGTTAGCTATTGACAGTTCATGTGGTATCCATTTTTCTAGCTTTGAAACTTTTCCGATTTGTTGTAGATGTCTATGAACAGTTCCATGGGATGAATTTAAACGTTCCGCAATTTCATCAACTGTTAAAGATGGTTCTGCTTCAACTAGTGCAGAGAGAGCATCATCGTCAAAGTCAACAGGTTTTCCAGTACGAGCCTTATCCTCCACACTAAAATAATTATTTCTAAATCTTTCAAACCACTTCTGCGCAATCCTTACACTAATTACGGTTTGATTATGAACAGTATTTAATTTTTTGGCTGCATTTGTAGCATTCTCATCACTTAAAAAAAAAAGTATAAAACATGTCTCTTATATTCATCTGTTACTTACATTTTAATGAAAATAAACAATTGAAATGTTCCCAATTCTGAACAGTATTATATGAATGAGATCTAATTTAACACTTCAGTGTAAAAAGTATCACATTAGACTGGCATTTTTAACAGCAAAAGATTTTTGTCAAGGTCATAAAATACGCACGAACTTATGGACTGACCTGACTTCTCTAGAGTGCTTCTTAGCCCAAGAAGTTTCTACATTCTAACCTCTGGCGGGTAAGCGCCCGGGGAAGTGGGTTCTCCGTCCCCACACATGGCCAGGTAGGACAGGAAGGGCAGTAGAGTAAAGATGAAATGGAAAAAATAAGAGTGGAGAAAGAGGAACGATGGCAGTGAAAACTGCCTTTTATAGAGCTGCGCTTAGCACCCCGAAGACGGGGAAACAGGGCCACCATGAGTAGGTGCGCAGCTGGAGACTAGATAGCGAGAGCAAGACAAAATTTGTAAGTGTCTGGGTGACACTTGCTAACTGCAATTGAAAAAATCCTCTGAATCGCTTCAAAACGCACTGAATAGTTGCTCAAAATCGCTTAGGGTCTCAGCCCTAGTAGATAGGGACAGATACAGATTACAGATACAGATATTTTATTAGAAGTAGATAGGGACACTCACTTAGTGTAAACTTTATTTAACAAAAGTTTCAGTACCGCAGGGCATCACTAAGGATACAATACAGAAAATTACATTTGTTGTCAGTATATTAACATAGGTATTGTTATTAACATAAAGATTAAATAATTGTCTACAGTTAAAATATACAATAGTGAAGCCTTGCACCATCACAGTTATATAACTTTTCAGTGTGATGCAAAGGAAATATATTCAGTATTTACAAATTGGCTACAAATATAAAAATTATTGTCACAATGCGGTAGGCCAATACACTGATCATTGAATAGTTGTCCTTTTGAAATATGTTTTGACAAGGTCTTTGAAAGCTTTTATAAGGTCCTTGTTCTGTGTAAGAGTATGTAAATCCTTTGGCCATCCGGTTCCAGTTGGAAGCAAGGAGAGTATTGTATTTTTGCTGTCCTCAAGCATTGGGCAGTGTAGTATATAATGCTTAACGTCATCCGGAATACCACAAACCTCACAGTTTTGGTCATTTGTATTCTTAAATCTTTTCAAATAGTTGTTGAATTTGCCATGACCAGTATAAAACTGTGCCATGTGATGATCAATGTAATGCTTGGCACTGATTGAAACCTTCGGAAAAAGTTTTTTTGTGATATTGTTACCATGCGTATCCCAATTGCATTGCCAGGTTTGTAAAGCAGTTTCCTTGATGTCTACAGATAATATAGCTTTTTGGTGTTGCAGTATACTTTTGTTCACCAATTGTTGAGGAAGCCATTCGGGCCAATTCGTCTGCCCGCTCATTCCTAGTTAAGCCCACATGCCCTCTGACCCACACCACAGCGAAACTGTTCTTTTTTCTTAACATTTCTTGTAAAATTTCATTAACGATTGGATGGTTCCAGTTATGGTTCTTTATTGCCTGTAGTGAGGAGTAGGAATCAGTGAAGATGTTAACCTTGCTATCATCGTTATTGTTATTGCACCATTTAACAGCGTTCATTATGACTTTAAGTTCTGCTTGAAACGCAGAGCGAGAATTTCCAAGCCTCTCTGTGTAGTTGCATACTTCATTATTTTCTTGATACACTACCATGGCGCAACCCACTCCCTCCTCTGTCTTAGACCCATCTGTGACAATGCTAATGGATTGATCAGTTCATGGGTGGATTCTTATGTTGGGCCACTTCCATGGTGCAACACTTGATATATTTTTTTGTATACTTTCTATGTTATCATAGACCTCACCATTTATTGTTATGACTTGACCTTTTTTCAACCTCTATCTTATAATAGTGTTTTCTAGATATATAATTATGGGAAGTTTTCTGGCAATAACCTGCATTGCAGCTGTTTGTGCAGTTGAATATGTTTTGCATATTCTAAGCAAGGTCCTTCTTTGTGCTGCCAGTAGTTTTCTACCCTTCGATGTGGGTTCCTGTCTGTGGTGAGGGGACCTCCCAGAGATGGTTTAGTAATTCTTCTTGACCATCCCTGGGATCTGAACACCCAACCACGTGTTTGCCGTGCGTGGTATCCAGTATGCCGGAAAGGGGGATCCTGGTAGTTGAGGGGCAACATAACGTCCCCAACACACTGCTTTGGCTCCTGCTTCGGATAAACGGGAGGCTCAAATCAGGCTCCGTTTGAATCAATCGGCTGGTCGTTGAGTCATTCTTGACCTCGGCTTGGAGTCAACTGATTGATGCAGACCGGGTGGACGCGTCCCTGCTTGACAGTTTGGTCATGTCAGACAGGGTGTGCTTTTCTCGACTGTATTGTGAGGGTATAGTTCCTGGGAAACCCTGGTGTGACGGTCTATGAGGAAACTCCCATGTGACGGCATCCCCTTGTTGGGCGCCATGGTGGGTGGGGTCACTAGGAACTGAAAATTTTTTTCTGAATATGGATTCTTTAAAACAAAACCGACCAAATACAGAGAAATCATTATCAAAGGACGTTAGCTCTTCCAACAAGCCAGCATATCTTATAGTTCATAGTACTGGAGAGAAACCTCTGTCTAAATGCTCTCCTTTTCTGATTCAGAAATTATTTGAATCGACCATTGGACATCTCAACAAAATACAAAAATTGAGATCAGGGGATTTACTCATAGAAACAGCCTCTCCTCAACAATCAGCAAAACTCTTGACAACAAAGACACTGGGAGACATGCAAGTGACTGTCACACCACACGGAAGTTTAAACTTATCTCGTGGTGTGATATCAGAGGTTGATCTGATGTCTGAAGAAGAGAAAGATATTCAGATTGGCCTGTCAGACCAAGGTGTGACTGCTGTTTGACGTATTTCCATTCGTCGAGATGGCAAGTTGATCCCAACCAAACATGTTATCCTCACATTCAACATGCCGATATTACCAACTTCTATTACTGCAGGATACCTGCACTGTCCAGTTCGTCCGTACATTCCAAATCCGCTGCGTTGTTTTAAATGCCAGCAATTTGGACATTCTCAAACATCCTGTCGAGGGAAGAACATATGCGCACAGTGTGGAGATGAAGGTCACCAGAGTACTGAGTGTACCACTACTCCATGCTGCGTGAATTGCAAAGACGCACATCCCGCCTGCTCCCGCAAATGCCCTGCATGGCAGATAGAAAAAGAAATTTAGCGTGTAAAAACAGTAAACAATTTACCTTACCCAGAGGCCCGTCGTATGGTCACTTCAAGCGCACCACTAAAACAAAAGACATTTGCTGCTACTTTCAAATCCACAAAGACGTGGAGTTCAAACTGACATTTCTGTTTCTCCAAAGGAATCTCTCACTCGGCATGCAAAATGTTTACTGATTCCATCAAAAGAAACACCAAAAAAAGGAGAGTATAAAACTAAAGACACCCCTGCCTAAAACAGGGGTTATAACAAGAAACCTGGGTTTAAAAAAGGCTAGTAAGAACCCACTAAACAAGCAGAGAGTGAAAGTGGCTCTCTCTAAATGTAAAAAATCAGAAGCCCACGCTATGAGTGAGTTTTCTGATATCTCTGATGAAGAGACTAATCAGGAGGTGACAAAACCAATATCACCTCCAAAAGAAAAACCCCCTGTTAGGTTAAAGAGAGATACTCTCACAAAGAATGCTGCCTCAAACACATAATGGGTTATAAAGTAACCCAATGGAACTGTCGTGGTTTCCTCAAGAACTTTTCTGACATTAAACACTTGACATCATGTACCCTATCTCTCTGCGTGGCACTCTAGAAACCCATCTAAAACCTGGAGAAAATATTTCTTTAAAAGGATTCAATCTCTACCGCAAGGACAATGATAGCCACAACCGTGCCAGTGGAGGTGTGGCTATTCTGATTTCAAATCG